TAAATCTGTGGCCAGTCCAACTCCTACAGTTTCCTGTCATCCTCTTCTCCCTCTCGTCTTTTAAAATGTCTCCTGTTTCAAATCCTTGGCTGTTTTTCCCCCTGTCTCTTTGCTCTCTTCATGATAATGAGAGCAGGACCGAGTGAATGCAGCCTCCCGAACGCTGCATCGGATGTCACCGAGCCGAGATGATGAATGAGAATGCTTTCACTGGCCCGTGTTTGGGTGTAGAGTTCACCCTCAATTATGGCTGCTGGCAACCGATAGGCAGATTATGCTTCAGTGCTTCGCAAGAGATAAAAAGCAGGGAAAGAGAGAGAGAGAAAAGAGTTACTTTTATTGGCAGTGGGGGGAATAGATGAACGAGGGAAGAAAACCAGATGAACATTTATAGCAAGTGACAAAAGACAGCAAGACAGAGATCTGTTTTTAACTTTTGCCAACAGTAGATGTTAGAGTTGGATTTATTATTGTGAACATTTCTTTTAATACACAAGTTTCCTGAAGCGAGTCTTCATCACCCGACTAACACCATAGCCTGTTAGTTGTTTAAAGTGTCATGTTTGTCAAAGAATGTCAAAAAAGTAGTGCAAGTAGAGTAAAAGTGTCTGTTGTAAACACTTCTCAAAATAAAAAAATAGCCCTTATAAAAGAACTCAAGTGAAGTGAGTAGCGAGAAGTATTCCCCTTTACTGACCTTATTCTTTGCATGTGATTGGATGCAGCCATTTGAATGTTTTTGGCTCGAGACTTCCGGTCTCATTTACTTCCATTCATTTTTACATGTTAAAACAGCTCATTATGCTGCTTGGTGTTGCAAACTGACACTTTTTTTATTATAATTTTCTACTTGATCTGTATAGTCATGTAAACACTTGTTGGTAGCGAAAGTTTGACCATTTTCTGGCGTTTATTATTCCTAGTCATTTCTCCCATAGATGACTGAATCGGAAGTTCTAAAACAAACGCAAAAACGGGCACACTTGTGCATTTTGGTAATTAAAATGCAGCATAGATTATCATCATTTTCTTTTTTAACGTGCTTCTAAGTGTAAGTTAAATTATTTGTCGTTCATGCTGTATGCATTTAATTGTGAGAATAATTTAATGTGGGAACAAATTACATTCATATTTGCATCTATGATAAGCTGACAGAAAGCATGTTGATGTTGTTTAGTGAAATCTGTGTAACTTAAAGGCTCGTAAACACCGGGACGTTTTTATTGTTTGCGTTGCATCAAAAAAAAAAAAAAAAAAAAAACTGAGCATGAGGCAATTCTTTAAAAATGACACTTTTATGCCTGCCGTTTTGCGCGTTGGTGTGCACGATCACATTGACACCTTTTATTTAGTCACAAGGCATTAAACATCGATGGAAAACATGAGCAAAAAAGTCTCTGTGTGCACGGGCCTTATGAGGCACAAATTTAGCTGTGACTGTGTGTTAAAAGGCAACTATAATGAAATCATCTTTTGCAAGCTGTTTGTACAGAACTGTGTGTAGGTTTAGTGATATAGTGAAATATTGGAGTGATATAAACACAACGGGCTCTATTTTGATGATCCATGCGCAAAGTGCAAAGCACAGAGCGCAAAAGCAACTAGGGCGTGTCAGAATCCACTTTTGGTAATTTAAGGACGGAAAAATCCGCTTTTACCCTATTCGTCTAATAGGTGAGTTATAGGTGTGTTTTGAGAATAAACCAATCAAAGTCTTACTGTATCTCCCATTCCCTTTAAGAGTCAGTTGCATTGCGCCATAGCACATTTGCTTTTTACATGACTGACTTTGTAAGTGGAAAAACTGAGCATTTCACTATTAAGAAAACAGTCAAGCAGAGCATCTGCAGCGCGAGAATGAGAGATAAGCCTTCTCATTATCTACTTTCACTTTCGCTCTTGTGGATAGGGAAACCTTGTACACACAGACATCAATTAGCCTAAATATAATTAATTTAAATTGTTAAGGACAAATATTTTTTTTTTCAAAACTACTTTCAAATTCAGTTCTTATTTACAGCAAATGAATAAATGAACAATAATAACGAAGTGTGTTCAAACAACTGAGTTATATCCAAATACACATGCTATGCCCCATATAGTCTAAAACCTGATAGGTGGGCAAATCTAAACTTGTTTTTAATAAAATAAATATACATATGCATATAAAAATAATACTGCTTATAATAATAACATTATGCAAAAGCAAATTATGAATGAATTGAAAAAGCCCCCCAAGATGAAGAAGGCATGAAAGTTTGTTTTTTTATATTTATGTAGGCTAGAAAATAATATGTTTTGTAATATTTTAATCCTTTAAATATATATATTTATATCCTATAGGCCATATATCCTTATTATATCCTATATATATCCTTGATATTTTAATTATTTTTTTCATTTGTAAAGATATTTGGGTATTGCTGTACACCCTGTCTGTATTAAGCAATGTGTAAGCGAGGCGCACAACTAACATGCTCTGCGCTGTAATAGACCAGCTTTGATCTGATCTATCTGAACCTTCTATAAGTTCCTCAAAATAGCAATACAGCTTCTTTTTTTAGACCAGAACGTTTATAGGCACACATATGAGCGCAAATGCATTTGCTATTTAAACAGTGTGGCGGAAAACATCAAAACGACTCTTGCACCAAGCTGAAACTAGCAAACAACTTTTGAGTCCTCAATAGTTGCTCCGCATTGCACCGGGTGTATGATAGGGCCCAATAAGTCTCTTTTTTAAATTTCCTGATGTTAAAAATAGGATCCAAATCCCTCCTATTTTGAGGATAACCGCAACGTGATGAATGAATGCAGTTTTCCCACCCACTGATTTGATTGACAGCCATGTATTAACGTGTTTCCGTAGTGACACATACAATCATATCAACAAGACAGGCAGTGTGCAAAGCAACTGGGATTAAAAGATCTGTTCAGCTCTCTGTGATCATCAATCATCATCAAAAGTGATCAGGAATGAGTTTTACAAGTTAAAAATGTTTTTAAAACAGTGCATGCTTGTAATGAATTACAGCAATTTTAGCATCTTTATCACCACAGCCGCATGTCAGTGCAACGACAAGGACAAGATGACACTTCAATCCTGGTTTGTGGATGTTAAATAAGGTTTCTTTTATGCATAAACAGACATCCATACAGCAGTGGAAATCAATGTGTATTCTGTCACATTTGCTGTGCAAAACATTGTTGCAACTACACAACAAATACATCAAATAATAATTGGGAAAGTTTTTACTGTGGTATTTGTCACAAACGTTACGTGAGATCTGTTTCCTTAATGTCTGTCACCGTGCTGTTTATCTGACGCAGCTGAGGCAGAGATTGAGGCACACTCTACTGCGGCGTTCACACCAGACGCGGATGAAGTGCCAAACGCGAGTGATTTACATGTTAACCCTTTGATGCACAAGCTTTAAAACAGATATAGAAAAAATAAGCTTAGACGGGTCACTTTAGACCTATGTAGGGCATCAAAGGGTTAAGTCAATGCAAAGATGCAAATAGATATCCTGCGGTACTATATGTGCGAACGAAACGAATAAAGTGACAGATTTTATTGATCTATGTCGCGAATGATGCATGTCGCATGAATTGATCGAGTTGGAAAATCTGAACTCCAGTGGACATTTGCACCGCATTAACCAATCAGGAGCTTTGTCTTATAAAGGCGTAATTATGATGTAGCGCCTGTTGTTTGTGTCCCTGGGAAAATCTTCCGGCTGACACAGAAGAAGCTGGGCTCGGCTCAATCGGAAGCATCGCTAAAAGCTTCCATCAGGTATAGTTTCTGTAGGAGTTTATAAACTCACAGAGCTATAAACACAACCATTCTCTCAATAAAATCTATGTTAGCCATTTAGCAATGAAGCTAGAGTCACCGGGCAGACAGAAACCCTGCCCATGATGCAAATCTGTCCATTATGAAGTGAATTTGATGTGCGAATAAAGCGAGTAAACTAAAATTGTTCACACGTCTTTTCACACGGAAACTGCGTGATTTGTCCGCTCATGACACGTCAGGTGTGAACAAAGCATCACAGGCACATGGGAACGGTGGGCGGGAAGAACTAGCATTCAAGGCACAGGCAACAAAACCAGCTACTAGCAACTTTTGAAAGATATATTGAATAATCTGATGGGTGTTTTGAGATGAAACTTTACAAACACATTCTGGAGACACAAAAGATGTATCTTAAATCTTGAAAAAGGGGTAAAATAGGTGCCCTTTAATGCTTAGGTTATGCACTTAGAACAAACTACTAGTGTCCAGCAGTTGGCATCGCAAACTAAGCTCGCGCAGTGCTGATATAATGCAAGCAATTTGTGCATGTATTCAAAAACATAACGTTCTGTTGTACATTAACATTATTGTTTAAGACCATTTCGTGATTTTAGTCATTATAGGAATATTTCATCTTCTTATCAATGACATGCAGTCATACAGTCTCTCGCTCGTTACTTGTAACAATTTTTCATCTTTATGGACACTTTTAATGGTTTTACACTGTATATGTTTGCTGGATTTATAAAGTGGTCGGTCTGTCTGATGTGATTTTTCTGTGCACCATTTGATAGGACAGATCACAGATCAGATAGGACAGCAAACCACAGACAAGAAAATATTTAACATATAAAGTAGTGACCATAGGTTGAATGAAAATAGCAACATAAAAATGCAGATATGGCACTAAAAATGTAAGAAAAACTAAAAGTATATATATATATATATATATATATATATATATATATATATATATATATATATATATATATATATATATATATATATATATATATATATATATATATATATATTATTTTTTTTTTTTTTTTAATTACATAGTAATTTAAATTTAAATTATTCAGTAAAATACTAAGTAAAGTAAAGTACTCAGTAAAGTACTTACTTACTTAAAGTGTTACTTAAGTTGCTGCATTTAATGAAAGTTCTTTCTTTTTTTTGCCTTTTTTTTTTACAGGCCTGGAAGATGAGATGAATTCTTTGAAATTGGAGCTCCAGAACAGCACACATGAACAAGAGCATGCGAAGAAACTCCTGGAGTAAGTGTTTGTTGAATAATCCACATTATTGTCAGCACATATACCACACATTTTGATTCACAGATTTGTTCACATTTTAAATGTAACAACCCAAGCTCATGAAATATACCTAGTGTTTGTGTGAGGACAGTTTTGCAGTAATAATATTACACTATGTTGTTTCTTGCATATTTCTCAGATAAAACCTTACAATTCTAAGGTGACGATTTACATTACCGTTCAGAAATATCTTATTTTTTATTTTTTTATTGGTTTTGAATAAAGTTTAAAACCATATTTTTATTGGGCTAAATTTATTTGATATAGTACAAACATCTGTTTATGATATTTTACAATATTTTAATGCATTCCTGTGAGATTGTTCAGGATCATTACTCTTTAATTTTCAGTGTGCCTTGATCCTTCAGAAATAAGTTAGCTATTTAAAGAAAAATGTAATACAAGATACACTTACAGTACAATACAGACAATACATTAAATTAAAAATAAAATTTAAAAATTTAATTAAATTAACTCAGTGGTTGAATTTTTTTTTTTTTTTAATAAGCCAATTGTTTTATAATTATTAAAAGTGGTACGCTCTCTCATATGCACTGGTATTTAATTCCAGCTTTCTGCTGCTCTAACTGAAAAAAACAAATAAATAAATAAAAATAACTGATTGTCCATAAGCAGTTCTCATAAGTTTAACTGAAAATATCCCCTTTAACTGATAACCTAGTCTGTCTTATATTGTCCTTGCAGACAATCTTACATTGTTTGAGGGGTGGTGGTGGAAGATCATTAAATATTTTATACATTCTTGTAACACTTGTTTTTGTACCATCCATACAAGAAAATATAATGGTGTTTCTGTAAAAAAGAGAACTTCACTCTAAACTCAGATCTTCAGTTACGTTAGGGATTCAGTTTAAATTTGCTATTGAGAAGGTTTAAATTGTCAAAATGGTAGCACTTGTTTGGTTTACTGGAGGAAATGAACCAGTTCTTGCAGAAAACAAATAAGACTTTCTACAGAAGAAAAAACACTATTAGAACTACTGTGAAGTTCCTTGCTCCATTTAATATCACTTGAGAAATATTTGGGAAAGAATAAATGTTTCACAGGTTAGCTAATAATATTTTATGCTTCGCTGTATGTAGCTAAACACTGAAGTGAGTGTTACTGTTACATTATTGTAATATAGATGTTGGGTTAATTAGGCTATCATTTTTGTTTTTTATTTAAGGAAAAAATAAATAAATGTAAAGCTTCAAGTTAGTTAAAACACAATTAATTGCAGGTGAAAGCAAAACAAATCAATTCAAAATAAACTGATCATTGCTTTAGCTCTGAACGTTGCTTCATTTAAGCCTTATTGGTTACCTTTTTCCAAGAGCATTATAAGCAGTCAGATTTGATAGAAAGCACTTTTTTAGAGAGCATAGATCAGATGAGAGGCTGACTAAATATGTGGCTCACTAAGAAGAGAGTTTTAAACTATGACGCACTGATAGCCACTAATATTATTTGCAAGGTTGACACACTCCAGGTAGATTATTCTGACCCAGTATTTCATCCTCATTTTCTCAGGATTCAGCCCTTCGTCACACACGCTGCATCCAACGCTCTCAGCACAGCTCGCATTACAGCTCAATATAACACCATTATCTATAAAACACCCCCTCCTCTCCTCTAGAATGATTTAATGTGTGTGGGGAATGAGAAAGAGCAGCACTTTATGATTTGCTCAGTTGGGTAACAGTCATCCATCTTCCTCCTAGTCTGAGAGAAAACCGTCTTGTATTACATTTGCATTCCAATGCAGCGCTGTCTGTCTAAATAGGAATATTTATTTCACCAAGGCGATGAGGATATCTTCCCTACACAATGTGACATGTCTCCTCATGAAGAGAGTCTAGTTTTATTTTATTTTTATATTATTTTATCCTGGAGGTGCACAATGAGCAAATGTGTCTCAGTAGTTAATGTTAATCAATGCATTTACTAACATGAACAAACAATGAACAATACATTTAGTAGTTCATTGTTAGATCATGTTTACACATGGTGCATTAACTAATGTCAACAAGCTTGGACTTGGATGTTAATAATGCATTGGTAAATGTTCAATTATGATTAATAAATGCTGTACATGTATTGTTCATGATTAGTTCATGTTAGTAAATGCATTAACTACTTTACAGATTTTATATCACATTTCACACACTGATTCAAGGCTGGGTACCTCTACATGGACTTCAGTAGTATTTTGACCTTATTCTGAATAAGACAATATTATAATTAAAGTGTTTACATTATTTGCTTTTAGAATATTGCTTTCATGTTGCAGTTTTAGTTGTTGTAGTACATATACATTCAGCTGTAAAATGTTCCGCTTCTGACCTCAGTGTGTTTCAGTCAGTCGTGTGTCACAGTATCCTGTTCACCAAATGAGATTGCCATGACATTTGCATTATGGCAAAAACAAAAAGAACAGAAAATGCTGGCTGCCACTTTTCAAATTAGTTGTCAAGAACAAAAAAAAAAAAAAAACAGGTAATATTATTTATCATTTGGCCCAAGTACACAGGTTGGTTTTACTGCAATCTAATTATTATAAATTTATTAATTTATGCAAAAACAAAAAAGACAGAAAATGCTGGCTGTCACTTTTCAAATTGGTTGTCAACAAAAGGTCATATTAAATGATGTAACTAGCTGCCATCTTGGATGTTAAAAGTATTTTTTTCTGAGGTCAGGGTTGTTTGCTATGCCCCAAGTACTCAGGTCGAAGGAACATAGAAATTCTATCTGACTAACATCTAACATCTTAATGTGTTTGAAAAAACTTTCAAAGGCTTTTGTTTTCATAAACCACGTGGACGTGAATGCGTCTGAGTGTTTTATTGGCTAAAGTAGACGTCTCACGTCTTTCCAGCAATCTTCCTTCTGCGTTCACACAGTACAACATTCAGGAAAATTACCGGTAATGTTACAACTTTACTTTCCGGAAAATTGGCGAAACAAATTTACCAGTATTTTTAAAAAGGGCCTGTTCATACATACAGACCTTTCCGGAGAATAGCCGGTAATGTTTGATGTTTCATTTTTGATTACAAAACTACAAGGAAGACATTAGACAAAGATTTAAGAATTATTTTTAAGATCTTTAGAATCATATCCTATCTGTTTGGTAACCATATTAATTTAAGTTAGGACCACATTTAGGACAAAAGATAATATAGAACAGCATGTCCTGTCTGTTATATTAATTTAAAGTCCATGTGAACATATACAATGTTTATTTTGCCTGTGTACATTCTTTAAGTTAATCCACTAAAAAAAAAATGTTTTTATAATCATCAATCCAAGTTTGACCATTTGTATGTGCTTTTGGTGTAGCATTCCTTCTCTGCTGGCCTCAGCTTGATGGCTTTATATCAAAATACTTAAAGGTCCTGTGAAGTGCTTTGAAAAGTGCATTTGTTTTATTAGAAATTTGGCATGATCTCAATTGAAACATGAAGACAGAGCGGGGCATAAAGTATCTCTTTCCCTTAATTAAAAGCATCCAATAGCATTTTGTTTGTATCACAGGTCTGCCAGTGAGATTGGTTGAGCTCAAGTACATCATTTGAAAATCAAATGAGAATTGTCTTAAAGGGAACATATAAGATAAGATAGAGCATTTGATTGGTCAGAAGATTATTGTCTTGACTTTAGGGCAACCTGATAGCAGTCCTAATTTTAAAATTGTTTGAGAGCTACATACAATTATTACATACATTGATGATTAAAAATGAGGAACAAAAAACAAAGATGTTTAATGGTAGAAAGACTCTTTGAGGACCCTGAAGATGTGTTATGTTTTAATGACAGAACACATGTAAAAACAGACTGCAAAAACATATTTCAGGCCAATTGACTTTTTTTTAAAAAAAATTTTATGCTAAATAATTAGAGTTGTTTAGTAACAGACCTGAGATTTAAGGTTTACTAAAGAAAAAAAAATAAAAATGATTTTGTAAGATTTAATAAAAATGTCAAGTCAAGGTTTTCTTTGCATTTTGTGACACACAGGTTACACACTTGGCAGTGGTCAGCAGTTTATGGTAAACAAAAGAACATGTCTTTGAACAAGAATTTGTATCTGCTGTCTTCTGTTTTCATGTATTGCACTGGTAATTATTAAACCAAACAGCCCAATATTGTAAATTGTACTGTAACAAAGAAACTGTATGTTGATATATACAGTATATATTATTCTGCCATGGACATTGCGTGGGAAGGTACCATTAATATATGTACTGTAAAGTGTAAAACAGGAACTCATGTAAACACTTTAACCATATTGTTGTTTTATTAATAATACAAAACAATAATTAGGTAATAATTAGATTTACCATTGTCTATGTAAATGTAGGACTATAGTATTGTTGTCTCTGTAAGAGTGACTGAATACTTACTTTATTTTCTTCCTTGTGTGTGAAGGCGCTTCTGTGAGTATGAGAGCTGTCAGGTGTGTGTGTGTGTGTGTGTGTGGCAGGACAGTGTATGTGATGTGACAGTAAGAGAGTGGTGTTTGCTGTCAGGGCTGCTCTGGCATTGACAGCTGTGTATGTGTGTACGTGTGTGTGTGTGTGTGGGACGGGGCTTGTCGCGTGCTGAGTCCTTCCTGCCTTCTGCACAAATGTACTTTGGTAGGTTGATAAACAAGCTGACAGGCCTCCATCTCTGTAAAAAACACACAAGATGTACAAAAGCATTCAAAAGTCTGGCTTGGATTTTTATTTTTGTCATTATTGTTAGTTGTAATTATTAGTAGTAGTATTTTGCATTCAAAGATTAATTAAACCGACAGAAAAACAAAACAAAAAAACATTTACATTAGAACAAAATTATTAGATCCTTAAAAGGGCACCTATTTATCCCCTTTTTCAAGATTTAGGATACATCTTTTGTGTCTCCACAATGTGTCTGTAAGGTTTCAGCTAGAAACACTCATCAGATTATTTAT